CCGGCCGTCAAGCACTTCTAGCACGCGCATTATGGGACTATAAAGTAGACGCACACACGAACATAAGCTAGCTCTCCGACGGGATGACTCACTGTCGGAAGTGGCGACCCACACCTATGAGACGGGCCACGAATTAAACTTTGCAGCCGCAATGATAATTGCTCACACTGGCAGCGAGACAAGACGCGAGCTAAGTGAAGCCTGGGCCTCGGATGACAACTCAGTCAACCGGTGCACTAAGCTGGCGGCCGCCTAAATCGCTCTCCACAGCCATTTACGCACGGCCGATACTACTGATTAATGATAACCTGTCACACAATCGCCAACTATATGAACACCGCCGCATAGGAGTAAGAGACAGGCTTCTGGTGTGGATAGGAAACTGCCTAATCGGCCTCTCGCAAACTGTCCGTATTCGTTAGAAACAGTCGACCACTGTTGCGGTTGACAGCGATCTCCCCAAAGGGTCCGTTTTCGGCTCTATTTTGTTCGTTGTTTGCGTCAACGATTGCGTCAGCGAACCGAATTTCGATATCAACATGTTTGCCGATAATATCAACCTTTGGAGCTTCATCTGAACTGCAGCTCTTGCGGTTCAATGAGAGCATGGGCAACTTTATAAAAGTCGGTAAAAGCATTACCTCTAGCCGTACGGTTTACCGACCCAATCGCATACCGCTGCAAGAAGTTGACGCCCAAAATTACTTAAAAGTTTGGATCACGCCCTCGCTTAAATCGTCCGCGCATTGCGCAAAGTTAGCCAAGTCTGCGGTCTCGCTTCTGTACCTCGTCAAACGAGCTTTTTCTGCTTTCGATGAAGGCTGCTTCATCAAAGTCTTTGAAACCTTTTTGCGGTTGAAACTGCAGTCCGCTATCAAAGCTTGAAAATCCAGAGCCGTGAAAGACCTCAACATCCTCGAAAAAGTTCAAAGGCGTGCAACCACCCTTGTCATTCGACAGGGGTGACTACGCTTTGAAACAGAATTATCTAACATCAATCTCTTACCCATGCACTATAGACAGCTTGGGGGGTGACTTGATAGTAACATTCCGCATCTTGCCTGCTCAAGACGTTTGTCTTGCATCAGATCTCTATGAGCTCACAACAACACCGAGCTTGGAAGCCCATCTTCTGAAATTGCATGTGACTGGGGCCGGTCTGGACACTCGAAATTTGTTTTTCTGCAATAGAATGATTGATTATTGGAACGCTCTGCCTGTAGAGTTTGTTATTTGAGAATCATTTGAGGATTTAAGCAGAATTTTGACCAATATCCGTGCAAGCTATACTCTTGCCTGACAGCTGTCAGCCGGAAACCGAGAAAAACTTGTTATTAGTATACTTCATTGCATATTCTAGTAACATCTGTTTTATACAGGGTGCCCCACAAAAAACCCCTAAGTATGTGATTGTTACGGCGGCCGG